TCTTACTCTTGTGATGTGGAATGACAGGTGAAGTTTGCATTACAACATCCTCAAACTCCATTGTTTTCGGATGACATCTTATTGCGCTATCCAGGTTTGAAGGGTGCAAAGATATGGAAGGAGGAGCATGATTTGGTTTTGTTGCGTGCCGTTTTGAAGTATGTATTTAATACAGCTTTTGTTTTTTTGATCATTGCAACAAATAATATCATCGAACTGCGTGATATTAGCCATTAAATATTTGTGAGTTTAATTATGAACAAAAAATGTAAACTTGAATACCATAAACAAGAAAGTCTATTATACATATCAACTGTATTTTTGCATGTTGATTTTTCAGCCACCTTTGTTATATTTTACATGATGTCACAGTTACTTTTGGGTGTTTGGTAGTTTTCTAGTTATAACTTTGGTGGATCCTTTTTGTTGATATATCCCTTGCTCATAATTCTTTCTATACAAGGCATGGGTATGGAAGGTGGCAAGCTATTGTTGATGATAAGGATCTGAAGATTCAAGAGGTCATCTGTCAGGAGTTGAATCTTCCCATTATAAACTTACCAGTTCCAGGACAAGTTGGCCCTCAGGCACAAAATGGTGCAAATTTGACAAATGCAGACGTACCCAACAGTCAATCCAGGGAAAATGGTGGCAGCGATGTAGCAGCTGATGGTGCACAAGGTTCTGGTGATGCTAGAAACCAAGCACAGTTATATCAAGACTCCTCCATATTATATCATTTTAGAGACATGCAGAGAAGACAGGTTGAGTTTATAAAAAAGAGGGTTCTTCTCTTGGAAAAAGGGCTCAATGCTGAGTACCAGAAAGAATACTTCGTGAGTGTCATATCACATATAATCTTTAAATATTTCCCTTGTCTGTAATGACAGGATTCAATTTCAAAACATTAGATGATTAGAAATAGAAATTGATCATAGATGCATTATTTTTTATTTTTTTTTTAATCAAAAGGTCGTTGTTAGGTACTTCAAATGAACTGCTAACAGTTGGAGAGTGCTAGGATTTAGCTTTTTACTGAAGTTGAGAACCGAAGCAAAATAAACATGGAGTTATGTTTATTTTTTTTGGGTGGTTTTGTAAGATGATGAAAGAACTTATTAGAATAGTGGTGGGAGGTTAGAGTAATATGCGTGAGATTCTAGGTTCAAATCTTGTTGCCTTTATTATTGATACTCACTGATAAAAAAAATCAGAAAACGCAAGAGCAGGAAATAAATGTCCTTTCTGTATGTACCCAGCTTCAGATGCCCCAGAACATATTTTCTTGGCGTTACTGCTCCTGATGGCTGAAAAAGTTGGGCATACACTATTTTATATATTGATGGTGACTGCTAGTTATCCTTGTCTTTGTACTTTTTTTTTTATATTATTATTAGCCACACTAAACACACATGATGGAAGGAGCAGTTGTCTCTTATGGTTATATTTTCTAAAGCATTTTAGGTTTGCATGTAATACTGCCCAAGTATCTATTTGCATTCTCCCACACCTGTTATATCATTTTCATACTTGTTGCTGAAACTTTACGTTTACGTTTTGATATTCAATTAGTGCCATCCATTAGTATTTCGCATTCACACCCTTAATCTTAGCTGTAATTGTGCTTTCAATAGGTATAGATTTTACCAGTGGTGGCTTGACTTGCTTGTGGCCTGACATTTCTTCTTCGTGAACATTACTTACAGGGTGATCCAAAAGCAAATGAAGTAACAAATGAAGAACTTAAAAGTGAACCCAAGGCTACTAATTTTCCAAGTTGTAATAAATTAGGGGACACTGACACTCAAATGATTGATCAACTGCCGCAAGTAGAAATAATAGGTATGATTCTATTCTTGTTCATTGGATGCTTCATGTCTTGATCAGACAACATCAGTACCTAGTTTGCATCAGAAATTGGAAGAAATCTTGCATACTAGAGTATTTCACCTAGAAAATTAAATTATGATGCATGGCACAGAATTGACTCTGTTGTCATATTAATGATAAACCAATCTGGACTGCAATACCCTCAGAGTATGCAAGAATCACTCCTGATATTTTATCAATGTGATCTGTATTTCTGTTATTTTTGTATTTTGTGGTCTCTCCCCTTTCATATTTTCTTCCCTTGGATGCTTGGATGCTTCTACGGTAGCTATGTGCATACCCAACTGAAATGGGGCATAGAAAAGACCAGAAGACTTACATGTAATGCTGCCATTTTCTGCAGCTACAGAAGAAATTTCGGCTGCTTGTGATAGTGATCCCAATCGATTGGAGTTAGTTCGACTTTACAATGAGGTAAAAGAACCATGTTACTCTCTTCATGACGTGCGCTATATGAAGAATCACTTCATTTCATTCAATAAAAGAGGTGGTGGAATATTTCATTCAACAATCTTTCCTGTGTTGGCAGATGTGCAAAATAGTGGAAGTAAACCCGGTCGATTTAGTTCAAACTTCTTTGGCAAGAGAACCGGCAGAGCTGAATGAGCTCAATGTAGTGAAGAATTTTCCTCCACTAGAAACCCTATGCGAAGACGTTAACAGAATTCTAACACCCACACAAGAACAACCTGTAGCAGAAATACCGACACCAAATTCAGATAGCAAATCAGAGGTCATGTCACACGATGAAGTTTTGGGCTCCAAATCACTGCCAATCCCTCAAGATCCCTGCAAACCTGAAGATTCAGCAGACAATGAGAGTAAAGATATGATAACTGAATCTGAACTTATAAAAGAAAGTTGCTCAAGCCTGGTAGAAGAGAAGAATGAAACACCCACTCTTCCGGAGAAAGAGGAAAGTAATGCAGAAATGGATGAAAGTATGACTGATGCTGAGTTGAATGAAAACCCAGAGAAATCTGATGCTGGGGTCGTTGTATTGAATGGTTAAACGCAATGTTTAGTAGACAGATATTTGTTGTACCGTGTAATCATAGTAGTCTCAATCAACATTATTTTAGCGCACATTAAAAAGTGAAGTGAATCAAAAACAAAAAGGCATAGTATATATGCGGTAGTAGTTTTTAAATCCCGTGCAGCTAACTCGATTAGAAATTGTTCATTTTTATGTATTAATGTTAGACGGCTTCAAGGAATTGAAGAGTATGATCAATGTATACTTTACTACACGTCACGTTACCCCTCCATTTCTGTTCGAGAGTGAGCAGAGAGCTGAGGAAATTTCCGTAAACCATTTCTGGTTGTTTTAATTACCCGTTGACATTTTTCCCTGGCCACATTTAAGTTTGGAAGATTATTAGAATAGAGCGAAGCGAAACAAAAGAACTGCACCTTTTGGACGATATTCTCATGGTAAGTCGAAAATAAAATTGACACAACCAAGGCTTTGCATGCGGTAAATCCTGTAGATTGTCAGTAGAAATATTGAATGGTGATTGCATATTATCATTTATATTCCATCTTAATATTATTATTTTATTTGTAACTATTTATACTTATACAAAGACTATCTCATTGTTAGAAATAATATAAGAAACCTATTCTTTCTCTTATATTGTTCTCTCTATACCTTCTCATTTTCTCTATTGCTTTTATATTACATTTTATGGTTTTATGTTTATTTTCAGATGTATTTTATGTATAACACATAGTCATGTTCAATTTTTCCGTTAGTCTTCCTCAAAGTAAATAACTTTTTTGTGCGAGAAAATAATTTTGCTGCAATAAGCTGCACAATTGAATATTCCCACTGGGTTTTATCCTGTTCTATAGTCAGCAGCTCAAAAGAATGTTTTGAAATCAAACCCAAGTTGATTTGGATTATATAAGTCGGATGAAGTCCCTGTAATTTGAATAACACTATGGAGTCTGCTGGTGGCTCAAGTAGGTGCCAGATACTAGGTTTGTCCTACTCAAGGATCTTATATGTCCTCTCCCACAATTCCTTCAACATGCATTTTGTTCTCGCTTTCTAGTTTTCTACGAGCCAAGAGAAAATAATGTATTATCAAGTGGATCCATGGAGCAACTACACGGACTGTGGAGCATAAAACAAGTTGAGACGACGGGCTTCCCAGAGTGGTTAAAGCCATTGTCGGTTTAACACTTACCATATCAACGGCCTATGTCTCACTTCTCAAAGAAGCTGGAGTTTTGTGGCTTTAAAACTGAGTCCATAGACTTTGCTTCGTACAAGAGAAAATGAATTATTACTAGCTACAAATCTTTATATATTTATTGGTGCTATAATTTCTTTCTCAAATTCGTCGTGTTCTTTCATAACAACATTTTTCTTCATCTGTCTTGCTCCCTATGTCTGATTTGGCCAGTAAAACCAAATTGCTGAAGCCTAAAATCGGTGTATAAGATGTGAAGAATTGGATCTTCAGTTAAAATGTCAAAAATCACAGCTTGGCAATAACCAACTTTACCTGCTTAAACTTCTCATCTAGAATATAAGGGTGTGTTTAGTATTCACGACCTATGTGACCACTTTAACTGCCCAATTCCACCGGCCATGCCTCATGCATAATTATTCTGATAGCAGCGGCATATTTATGTGACAATTGGCATAAAACAGAAATCACGAGCATAAGTGGTTTTATCCTTTTACCATTGAGACGGGGTCTTGTGATGTCAAGCAGGAAAACATTCCAACTATCTCACGGAAGATAAACAGAATGGCAAACGTACAACGTTATATTAATTATTTCACAGGTTTATCATTTATCTAGAAGAGAAAAAAAGATTTAATTCCTTTAAAGTGGATGATTATTGATTAATAATTAATAATTAATAATTCAAACAATAATAATTATATATAACACAATAAATTGTAAAAGCATTAAAATATAAATCGTTAACTTTTCAATTATAATCTTATAGTATGTACTTTAACTTCTAGAATCATCTCTTGAAAACAATTAAATACTAAAGAAGTTTGTCATCATCTTGCATGTCACACTAGATTGCATAAATTGCTACTTCAATAAATAATATTAAATGCATAAATGGTAAAGGCAAACATATCCAAGCATAAAAGGGGAAATCCGTGTTTATTGTCATTCATCATAATCATTATAATCTTGTTTATGGATTCCTAACAAACATATAACCCCTGGTGTCTCTCCATCTGTTACACCTGTAACGAGGAGTGAGATAGACACACGGTTCAAGCGGATCTCATTTGTGAGAAGGTTCCAGGAACTTGTGTCTCTCTCTCCTCACTTCAAGTGTAGCTATGGGAGAAGATCTAGGTCCAATTTGCAGGTCAATATTCTATGGAGATTAAACATGATTAATAACTTCATAATACATCGCTGGACCCGAGGCCAAGGACAACGCATTTGTTTGTATAAAATTAGAAAGCCCTTAATGGAAGAAACCTAGAGAACTTAACCCAGGAAAAAGTAATCTGGAAAAACTAAACCCTACACAAAACTACATTTAGACAAAAGCGGTTACACACACTGAAAACTACAAAATTCATCAACCAGGATGCATGATGCTGATATGTGCTGCCAAACCTGCTAACTGCCATCACATAGATACCCCACCCGTGTAATTATCGCAAATGAGGTTTCCATCCAATAATTTCATCTGATCTTTCTCCTGCATGGCGGGAACATGGTACTGAATGAGTATGTAAGGAAATATTAGGGACAAGTAGAAGACTAAACACCCAAACGATCAATAAAGACACTAGGCCATCAGTCAAATGCTAAAACAACTAGCTATATACTCTATGGACAAGTTATTTTACCAATCCAGAACAGGCAAATAAGATGCTTTAGCCAATATGAAAGCTCAAACGGATGGCAGGATGGCAGAAGTTGCTATTGTCAATTGAAAGATCTACCACCAGGGACATCAACGAAACATATGGCACATAAATTTTGACAAACAGGAAAACAGAATTTCACCAATTTAAATCTTCAAATATCAATGCTGACAATGTAACAACTCAAATCCTCTGGCGTGCAGGACAACTATAACAATGCTTCTGTATGTATATCACCCTCTAAAGCCACCAACTGTACTACTATCTAATCAAAGGAGAACAATATACAGCAAGTCCACAAGTATGTTAGGCCAGGGAGTGAAAATTATGATCGATGGGGATGGTATAAACCTAATTCAAAAGATTCACACAATTTATGTTTGTATCTAAATGAAAAAAGCTACAAAACAGAGATATCACCAAGTGAGTGTATCAGAATTTTCAATTGGTATAAAATCTATTAAGCATGTGGGAGCACATTGTAGTCAATATGTTTAAAAGAAATCATACATAAACTGATAAAAATTTATGGGAAAAACTTCAGTATATAAGTATATTGCGTAAATGTTATTACTTGTTTCATCATCGAACTAACCAAGTCTTCCAGCGAACCAAGATTATTAGAAAAACCACTTTGTTGAGACTTCTGCTGGTTCATGATATTCCCCTGATGTTTCAATGAGGTCTCTTCAGTTAACTCCACAAACCCATCATGCTTCATTTGTAAAGGATCACAATAGCTAAAGTCCAAGTTTCTGTGTAAATTTGAGTCTGTTGCTGCACCATTAACTGGATTCAGTGAGTTTATTGATCCAAACATAATATTTGAATGGTGAGTAGCATCCTGACTATGGTCATCCCACCCTTGAAATGGCGCATTACTGCTTAACAGACCAGGTCTGTTAGTAAAAATCACACCTTCAGAGTGCATATCTGTAATTGAATCATGGGGTTGTCTAGACAGTGAAGTGATGGATGGACCACTCAAATTCCCACCTTGCAAGGGTACAGAAGCCATGTTATCTGTAGGACGTATATTAGTCCGTCTAAAACATTCACTTGGAGGGTAAGAGTTTGTCTGAATCACAGATGGCTGAACAGCACTTGACCAATTATCACTATATCTACCTTGATCCAGCATAGACAAGGAAAACTCTGAATTTTGAGAGGCTGGTGATGAAGATAAAGTTTCATATCTTACACTCCCTTGTGTGCCTTGAAGGCGTGGTTCCACCATCAAGGCATTGTTTGAGATACCCAGATCTGGAGTGTGAGAGCCAGATGTGGTTACTTTTGGTCTTGGATCTGAGAGTTTATTCAAGATGGGAAAAGTTTTGGCATCAAAGTGAACAGAAATAACACCTTTATTGTTTTGCAATTGATCAAGCCCTACAGACATTGGCATCCCCTGAATGCCATTCTGATTAACAGGAACCATGGCTGACTGGAACTTAAGATGATCATTGTGGTTTAAATTTTGTGATTGACTCAATTGAAGTACTCCAGATGGGAATCCATGCACATTCAAACCAGCAGGGGTGTTCAATCTATTAATTATCCCACTAGATGGAAAGGATCTGAAACCATTGTTTTGAAGCTGTCCTGAACCACTTAATGTTTGTAAATGTCCAACCCCACTCACAGAACTCATTCTCAAATAGGATGCATCTGCACCTCCTAAGGCCGCCACCATATTAGCCTGCTGGTTAGCCACACAGCTAATTCTTTTCAGATAAAGCCTATACTTCTGCAGCCATTTTATACAGCATAACAATTCCATGAATAAAGAGGTATATGTTACATTAAATTAAATTAAAGCACAAAGGACTGGAAAATAGAAAAAATGCCTGGAGATGGCTTGCCACATTCTCCCTTGTAAGCTTTTCAACATTCATCAGATCAAGAATTTTTTTAGGTACAGCCTCTGCCAACAAAACCAACAAATGATGAAGCCCAAACTCATTCAGTAATGTAAAACTACATGTCATGGCATAAATTTTAAATAATAGCTGCATTACATTATCCCAAGTGTCACTTAATATCAGGAAGAGTAATAGAGAAAGTCTTCATATAATTCTGAACATTTTTATGTTCTAAAATTGGATAGACATTTGATAAGCTAACATTTAACCAGATATTTAAAAACATCTTGATAATAAAAAATGAGAACAATTTGCATAAGCTCGTGAAGAAATTGATAAAAGTTATAACAATTGTTTTATATTGCAGAAGGGTGAAGAATTACTGTCAATGCCAAGCTGATTAACAGCAGCAACAAACTTGCGGTGCAGCTCCACAGACCAAACAACCCGAGGCTTCTTTTGGGTTGACGGGTCCTCATTGTCCTGATCGTTCTCCTGTTCCTCATCTTCATCCTCATCTTGATCCTTCCTTTTTTTAGTCAGCTTCTCATTTTGTTCAGAATTTCCTGCTCCTGATGACCCTAGTCCATTGCCACTATCAGAAGTAGGTTTGTCTAGGTTGCTGGTTTTCTTCTTCTCTTTTGAGTCAAACTTCTTCCTCCTGATTACATGCTGCCAAATGTTCTTGAGCTCCTCCATTCTCACAGGTTTCAGCAGATAATCACAGGCTCCGTGAGCAATCCCCTTCATCACCAGCTTTGTATCACCATTTGCAGACAACACTGAAATCAAGCATTTTATTTATAACATCAAGCGTTCGCCAAACAATCATTAAAGCCACATAAATAACTCAAAAACAACCATCCTAAATAAGTCCATTTGCACATTACACTTTCACATTTATGAATAACCATCACACTTCCACACTTACTTATGACAGGAAGGTCCATCTCAAGTCCCACTAGCTCAAGCAGCTTAAATCCATCCATGTCTGGCATGTGCACATCACTGATTACCAGGTCAAACTTGTCCTTGTGTTCTCTCAACAGCGCCAATGCCGTTATTGCTTGATTAGTCGTGGTAACTGCAATCCCAACCATAACCAGATAAATACATTCCGAAAGAGCAAACTGCCACAACAGTGCATACACATCCACCACAACATAAGCAACAGAAAAATATTCATAAGAGAAAAACACCCATCCCAAAGAAATATTTAGATCCCGCATTGAAATCCAACTAAAAGACAGTAAAAAAGCAAAATGCAACCTATAACAGAAACCTCCTCTACAACAATAGAACATGAAGAAGTTAGAGTTGACTCTGATATATATACCCTGCAAACAAATTTCATTAATAAAACTATCCATATTATAAGAACAAAAAAAGAATTTAAAACAGAACATCAAAATCTAACAGAAAGAACAAAGCTCAATCCAAAACCCTAAATCATGAAAAGCAATAAAGCAAAGTAGAAGATACAAACCATGGTATTGACATCTTCTGAGGAGAGTTTCCAAAACTAAGAGGCAGGTGGGGTCATCGTCAACCGCGAGAACACGCATTCCGACGGGAAAATCGTCGGGGGAATCGTTCATTCTGTTGTCTACGGTCATTTCCTTCTCTAATATTGACCAACACACAAACTCAAACGAACTGTGTTTGTGGGTCTGAAACCAAAACCCAGAAGCTATGAAACAGAGGAGACAAGGAAAACAGTAAAGAAAAGATTTATAATTTATAGGAATAAATAGTAATTTTGAAGGAGAATGTGAATGAATAATTGAAAAGAACAATAAATGCGAAGAAGGAGCGAAAAAGTTGATGTCTTTTTGTGCTTATGTGTGTGTGTCAGCGTGCAACAGTAGAACGAGAAAGTGATGGAATATGTGACCATAAATGGAGAGCCAAACAAACAATCACCTATTAATATTATTCTTTCTTTCTATTCATAATCCTAACTTTATTACAATTTTTTTATTTCATTCACACTATCTCACATGTATACATTTTATTTCTTAGAAAACAAATTAACTTAAGTAAGACCGATACAAAAGTAAATAATTCTCAAATAAATTAATTAAACATGAAATAGTCGTTGGTCTTTTCAGAAATATAGTAACCATTATTTTTTCTCTCATCTCTCTGTCTTTTTTTTTTTTTTTTACAAAGAGACAAAGTACCTTGCTAATATGTATAATTGCATTAATGTTAGTTTCACTTTTTAAATAAGATTTACATAACTTTTTTTAGTTTAATAGGGTTATACAATTTAAGAAGTAAAGCTTTTAGTTAAAAATTATATTATATATATATATATATAAGAAATAAATATCTAATTTATCATCAATAAAATTAATAAAATTAGCTATTTTTAATTAATAATGTTATAATTTAAGATTTATTTAAAAATATTCATAGAATTAAATAATATTAATAGTAGTTATTTTTAATGATACCACTCAAAAGTTATAGAATAATTTTTTTAACCAATGACCATAACTTATAGTGTTAGTTATTTAATAAAGACATACACAATTATAAAAAAAGTTAGATTATATTTTTTATCCAGTTATTTTTGTTAATTTACAATTTTTGTTCCCTTATTTCAAAATAGAGATATTTAATTCTTATATTTAAAAATAATAAAATTTTCATTCTTGTATCATCTTGATATTTATTAATAAGTAAATTTTAACGTTATTAAAAATAAAAAATAATCACAATAACATTTTATCAAAAGTATAATTTAATTTATAAAATAATGAGTAAATGATTCATTAATAAGATCACAATAATTTGAGTATAAAAAGTAGTTACCAATTAATACATTTTAAAGTAATATTACTTCTGTTTCTTTATAATAATTGTTTAAGATTGCTTTATACAAATAAAAAAAAAGTATTATATTTCTTATAATTAATAAAAAAGTAAAATACTCAATTTAATTTTTTTATACATAAATATAATATTTAAGATAGTTACTCAAACTAAATAATTATATGATTTATTATAATTTTGTTAAAAAAAATTAACAACTCATTTACATGGTGAAATTATATTCACCTTGAGACTTTTTTTTTTGTCAATTATGTTGTATGTATTTTTTTTATAATTATATTATTAGCATTAAATATTTGACGATTTTGTTAATAATTATTGTGAGTTTAGAAACTTAACTACCATTTTCAATAAGTTTTTTTTTCTGTCAATCACTTTATATTTATTTTTAAATAAATATTAATATCCTCTATTTATTTAATTAAGCAATACATATATCACTTATTAAATAATATACACTACTTTATTAGTGAGACACGCCTATAGTTTCTTTCATAGCTATTTTCCTTACCATTTAGGAGAAAGCAGTAGGTAATTAGGTAAATGTTGTAAAAGCAAAACATCCTCAAAATTTTAACAATTTTTTCGAGTGTAGTATTAAAGTGGTTTTATTAATAGCATCTGAAAGCAAGTTAGTATGTTTGAAAAATTAGAAGAAATATGTGGCATTTAAAAATAATTGAGAGAAGATGAGAGTCATTTTCCCCACATACATATATATTTAAGCACTAGTCTTAATCAGAATCTTATAGTGAAGCCAAATCTCAAGATTTGGGAGGAAAACCAACGCGTCGTTGTCACGCGCTCGAAAGAGAACCGAATCCAATAGGAATATTTTCTCATTCATAGACATTGGACGGTGCTACGATAGAAACTGTCTTCATTTGATGCAGACCTTTTGGCTTTTCCAACTAATATTATTATTTTGTTATAACTTTTATATTTATTTTGGAAATATATTATAAAATCATAAATAATGATAACTGACAGTTAAAATCATTAAAAAAAACATAAATAACTCAGTTGGCTTATGACATAAATAAAATTTGTGTATATATTAATATATGTGAAAAAGGAACTTTTATCAAAATAAAAGATGTTTAAAAATCTCTTTCTATTACCTTTTACCCAATATAAAAATAAACATTCCCAACTTTATAATTTTAAGAATGAAAAAAATATTCAATAAAGTAATTGTCTCCTATTTTATTCACAGTGAAAGATATTTTAGAAAAGATAAAAAAGGAAATAATACATGCTGAACAATAATTTGTTCATTTAAGTCTAACTTAGGTCTTATGTACATTTGCTTGTAGATTAGAAAATTAGAATTTTTAAAGGTAAATTTAGAATATTTCATTTTATAATCAATAAGTATTTATTCAATTGAGATGAATTTGAAATCGACTATTTAATCAATATGAGATGAATGAGTTTTAATCAAATTTTAATCTATAATTTTTTTTAATGAATATAATTCACACAATAACTTAAAATTGATAATTAAAGACTAATTTGTACATAAAATATAATTTTTAATAATCAAATATTATTTTAATACAAATAAACATTAAACTTGAGAACATCAAGTCAATCCCATATTCTAAGACAGATCTTATAATTATTGATTTAAGAGATTTAATTTAGAGAATACTTTTTTAATCTTAATTACATATTTATATATGTCTTACAATATTATAATTAAAAATAAGTAAAATTAAGCTTAATTTAAATTTTATTCAGTAACAAATGAAACTTCTCTTTATTTACTCTTTAATTTTGTTCTTTTTTAAGCTTATTTAAAAGTTTGTTGTTCTTTAAATCTGTGAAGTACTATAGTATTTTAAAATGAATATCAAATTTTATAATATATAAATATTATAGACTTTATGAATTATGCAAAATAAGATTGACTAAATATTGTGTATTAGGTAATTAATATTAAACTACAACTATTACTATAATTAGGCCTATGGGTTCAGATAATCAAATATGGAAAGCATCAAATCCAGCCTATTATAAGTGAGCAATTTTTTTAAAAATATATTGAGATTAGGCTTGAGCATCGGTCGGCCATGGTCGGTTTCATATCAAAATCTTTGAAATTGTCTGAAACTAGTTAAGAAAATCAAGAGTCATCTCCAACTGACGAAGACCTCGATTTTTTACGAGTTCAATCCATGCAATTTGGAAGTTCATCGGTTTGAAAAGCTTCCTCTCGCTCCTCATGCCACCTCCACCGTAACATTTAAAGTTCTTTTGGAATACCTTGCAGCAAAATAAATAAATAATAACCATCTAATATATATTAATGCATTTACTTCCTTTTTCTATATAATAAACTATCCGGTTCAAATTTTATAAATAAAAATTTTATTAAAAAAATACTTAAAATATTAGTCAAGTTTTTAACAAAAATTTAATTATTAACAAAATTAATAAATAGTTTTTTTTTATCAATAACATAATTAAAAAAATACTTTACTATTATTTATGTGATATATAATATATAATTGTCATTA